GGCACGGAACGTGTTAATGTGTTTGTTGAATTCAACTGATCAAATCAAATATATTAGTCGTAATTGTTAATTACCAATTGCATTATGATTGCATTGTTTTATATTGTCAAATATTTTACAACTTCAAATACTTCTATAAACTTAATATTACAATTCCACTATCTCCTACACTACTTAATATACTATACTGTACTATTTGTATATTATTATATACTATACTATATATTATACTATATATACCACTGTTTACTAATTCTTGCAAATAATACATTTTTCCTTCATTTAATTTCATTCGTTAAAAAACGAAAAAAAAGGGACCAATTCATACGCAAATATATCTTTATACATATATATTTGACCATTACAAGGCAGTGGAACAATCCTTGACCCTGGAATGCAAATGCCACGGAGTTTCCGGATCGTGCAGCGTACGTACCTGTTGGAGAGGTCTTGGCTCTTCGGGGCCAGCGGCCGCAGGAAGTCGATTGCTGCGCAGATACGCAACTGCGGCGGAAGTTCGTCCGAGATCAGGAGGCAGGTTACCACCCTTGTATCATCACGATAATCTTCTGTACACCACGAAAAGCCCAGACTACTGTCTTCCTGACAAAAAGAGAGGAAGCCTTGGAACTGTTGGCAGGTAAATCATAACTTCCTTCTCCTTTATTTGCTTAGCTAATATCGCTGGAACCGGTTTTCTGTAGTAACGGTTTACGTTTAGCGATTGTTTCGACGGATGACAGATAATTTCATTGTTACTTTACGCCAATCAGGTGCAAGAAATTGTTAGATGAAAGAGTAAAATGCACATTAATATTATTATGGTTATACTAAAAAATAGGTATGATGAAATTACTAAGCAGAGTTTTATTATTATTATTCACAACTATTATTCGAACGATTTCAAGTGAATATTTATGTAAAATAATTGTTCGAATATATATACAGGTATTACTACGTAACTTCATCACTTTGTCTTTCTTATTTTTGCAGATATGAAGAAATTTTGTTAACAAAAATTGCTTAGTACAGGCAATAATGACAGTAATAAGGTTTTCACATTTGCACGTAATAAAAATTCGACATTTATCCACCAGTCTGATATATATGGGTATTTGAGGAATGAATAAATAATAAAATACACTACTTAATTATCCATAGATATTTAGACATGTCCAAATGTACAAAGTATACTTCAAATATGACTCTATCTAATTTTAGACTAAGGCGTATATTATTTAATATTTGAGACAAACCTTTAAGTTTTACTTTTTCAATTGTATTTACAAAAAATATGAATTTGCATAAATATTTGCAATTTGCTAATCACAATGCATTCCTCTTACAATTAGTCACAATTGTAAACGATCAAGAGACTTAATCAATTCATTTTCCTGTTTTCGAAATAAAAAACTCATAAAAAAACTTTTTCATAAAATCATTTTCAAATAAAAATTTGAAAAGAAAAAGATCGAAAAATCTCGGATAGCACAAAATCTTTTTAATTGCAGGTCGAAGAGCTTCTTCTTTTTTTTTCCTTGAGCTTCGAGTTCAATTGTGTTCAAAGTGAGTCACACAGGGAATGACTCCGATTCGAAATGACTTTGCATTTTCATACAGGATCGCTACCACCTTGCCATTGATTTTCTTATCCTTTCAGAGCCAGTCAAGTGCTATCTCGTTACATTCGTCAGATACTTTATTCAGTTCGTTAGTAAGGTACATGTAGAACAAGTACCTCTCAGATAGTCGAATGGAATTAATTATTGTAATTCAATTTGTCAGGAG